ACACACACACACACACACACACACACTTCTTTGTGAGGTTTGGACACATCACGTCCTCCTTCCCTCAGCTGATTGATTGTTTACTGGGATGATGTCGACTGTGTAGAAAGACAGACAGCTCAGCGCTACGATGGAGGAATGGAAAAAAAGTGACTGCACTTGGCGGAGAAAAGGAGGAAGAGAGAGAGAGAGAGAGCAAGACGGAGAGAGGGAGAGAGAGAGAGATGAGGTTTCAGAGCCAAGTCGATACTCCAGTTAGACAAAAAAAAACAGCTTTCCTCTCTTTCTTCATCCCTCTTTCAATCCACCTTTCAGTCACTGTTCATTTCAGGTTCATTGATTTAATATATGTTATTGTAATTAAGAAATGAGTGACAGTAAGTGTGTGTGTGTGTGTGTGTGTGTGTGTGGGTGTGTGTGTGTGTGTGTGTGTGTGTGCTCTGATGTGTCCATCACAGCGTCAATAAATCAATACTCCCTCCTCCCTCAGCTGTCTTCAGTGAATGAATTGGCTTTTATTTGTTCTTGAGTTACAGCAGATCAGACGGTCAGCGGGCGTCTGCCGCGTGCTCATCACATCGTGAGTTTGAATCCAGCTCACAACAGACGCTTGATGTCACATTGTCTCTCTCTCTCTCTCTCATTCTAAGATTCTCCAGAATACCATAAACGTGATTTGCATGTTGTCTCCACAGTCAAACCAGGATTCAAACCAGGGAAGGAGGTGAAGGACGCTAACCACTGTACCACTGTGTCGTCCCCAGAAATTTGAATGACACACAATTTTACATTCACAAACTATGAGTGCTCCTATAGATCCCATAATAAAACTTCAACGTCACTAATCAGAGCTCGTTCTTCCACCGAGGCCCAACAGCCCTCTAATGAAACCACACGTGCTTCATTAAGAAACCATGTAGTTTTCACTTTTCACAATAAAAGCCTCCGAACCCACTGACCCAGTCTGACAACTCACTGATGAAAACCAGTCGCTCCCTGCCTGTGCGAGTCAGACTAAACTCTGGAGCGACCTGAGCTGCGTTCACAGGGTGGGAATGTTTCCCCGCACGATGTGTGAGTCCAACACAACCATGGCTGGGATTTCCATCTGTGCTGCTGCTGCCAGAATATCCTCCTCCCGCTGCTGGCCCCTGGTTAGACCGCTGGCAGGGCCCCACTTCCTGACTCCTCGGCTCCATGGCAACGCTGCTAGGAAGCGCTAAAAAGGCCTTCCCAGAATCCCCTGCGGTTCCCAAGTGTACGACTGTGTGTCGTGTTTTCTCTGTGTGTGTGTGTTATAAGTCAGTTTCCCTGCCGCCTGCTGACAGCGAGTCAGTGCCACTGCAACCAGCGGTTTTATAAATAGAGCCAGGAGCCAAGCTTGAAAACCGCACTGTGTCATTACGGCTCCCAGAAGAAAGAGAAACCACCAGCACAAACACTGGAGACGCAGCGTGAGAGGCGGTGACATCATTTCCTGTCCGATCCGGAGTCTGATGTACAGAAATGTTATCATTTATCTAAAGTTTATTATCATTAAAAGACAAAAACAAGCAGCATTCACATTTTAAAAGCTGCAATAAGTGAGTTTCACGTATTTTTGCTTGAAAAACATTGAGTATCAAAATGTATTTTCATAATCTGCTCATTATTCATCAATTATTTGATGAATCATTTCAATTCGCAGTCAAGTTTCTATTTTTCAGTCTTTAAGTAACATTCATCAGACGACTTATAGTTTAGAAAATATCACCACAACGTCTCTCCTGGTTCCAGACTATTTTATACTGTACTTTTCAATACATCAGCAAATATCTGTCCTTCATATTCCACGACATGTTTACACTGTACTGTGTTACATGTTTTTATTGGTTTTTAAAAGTATAATCAATGACGAGAGGGGAACTGGTCCATTGATCCGATCAGAGCAGGCAGATGACTTTAGAGCTTTACACTCGACAAGTACGTATATTTACAAGACTTACTTTAACTCAAGTAAGTTAATGTGGTACTTTTACTTTTACTTGTGTACATGCTTGTCTATTTATTTGTACTTTTACTTAAGTAAAATGTTCCTCCACACACACACACACATACACACACACACACACGCAAACACACACACACACACACACTGAAAAGCATGCCTGTAAACACACTTTAAGGGAAACTGGTCGTCTTTGACAACAATACGACTCAGCATGACTGGACTGAGGAGTTAATTGAGGCGAGCTGAAAAAGAGCAACACTTGTGTAAGAGTGAAAGAGAAAGATAGAGAGAGAGAGAGAGAGAGAGAGTGAAAAAGAAAGAGAGATGTGTGCACAGGTTCAAAGTCTTAGATCAGATGAGCTAAAGAGGAGCAAACAGCCAGAAGAAGATGAGGTCACTGTATCTGCAACTGTTTTATTGGAGTAACGTGGTCATGTGTCATCACACAGCAATCTCACTCACTCACACACACACACTCTCACACACACACACACACACACACACACACACACACACACGTGTAGGTTCACAGAGAGTTAACAGTCCTGTTGCAAACTTTTGTTTTTAAGGAGCGACATCAGAATGTATTTTGGGATTTAACTCCGCGATCGTTCCCTGACAAACTAATCAATGAATCAGGAAGAATCCACAATGGAGATAATCGAGAGTTGCAGCCATGACGGGAAACAAAAGGCTGAGCGAAGCACTCTCGTTATCTGTGGAGGATTTTAGAGACAAAACAGAAATCGTATATAATTCAAAGGTCATGAAACCATCCGAGAGAATTCCTCTGATTGAATGAACAAGCTACAACCAGGCCACACAGAGCGCTCGCTGGTCCTGCTGGTGTTTTCCAGGCAGTGAGTGGGTGTGACAGAGACCTTTGAATCATATAAAACTGATTTATAACCTGGAATGAAATGGGAATTAATTATTAATATGTTATTTGTGTCTTATTGGATTCGAGATGAGCTGCAGAGTAAAAGTAGCTGCAGGTCTGACATAAGGCTGGAGGGAGAAGTGTGCGTTTGACCATCTGCTACCGAGCGGCAGGAGGGGAGCCCTGCATCCTGATCATTTCTTTCTCTGTGGCTGCAGCTTGAATAATATCACTGAGGTTTTTCCACACAGACAGAGGCAGCCTGCAGTGATGGAGCCCCCCCCCCCCCGGGATTCATAAAGCTGCAGCAGGTGGAGGTAGAGATGGAGGCTGTGGGGATGGAGGGTCTCTGGGTGTAGTAATTGACTGTGGTGGGGATTGCACGGATCAATATTGGTGCACATTAAAAAAAGAGCTGTAACTGCAGCTGGTGCTTTCAGTTTTCAGTTTTGCACGCATGCCTTTCTCTTTCTCTCTGTGTGGAGAGGGGGAATGTGTTTGCATGAATGGACATCGGACCACCGCTCTCCCAGGCTGCATGTGAGTGTGTGTGCATGCAGGAGCAGACATGGGAGGGAAGCACCGGGCTCTTTGTCCAGCTCACCGCCCCGGACTGTCTGGATATAACACCAACTAATTACATTTATCCATTTGTGGCTGTTGAGGGAAAATGTTCCTGCTGCTGCTGCTGCTGCCCAGTGTCACATCAGAGGGGAGCCACCTCCTCACGACCCACAATCCCTCTGTCCCTCCAGCACAGGGACCAGGAGAACACAAATGGTTCTCCACGTTATTATCACCAGAGGCTGCTGCTGCCCCGCATGCATGTCAGTGGGCGAGGAGTCTGCAACGAGGAGCAACGTGAGAAACGACCGAAGCACCGAGACCACACATGATCCGGTTCAGGAACGTGTTGGTGTCAGTGTGCACGCTCCGGATTCGGATCACATGTCGTGGAATCGCAGGGAAACAGGTTTTTTTTTAAAGTGCCGTGCATCGATAAGTTTTGAATCGAGTCCTGTTAATATCGCAGCCGATGATCGATACGTGACACCGGGCGACGTTCAGAAGCACAGATGCCAGAAATCAGGAGCTCCGGAGCCGCTTACCTTCACCGGGCAGCAGCGGTCCTGGAGTCCGAGCGGAGCGCGAGGGAGGCCGGGGGATGCTGCCGCCGCTGCTCCCTCTCCTCCTCCTCCTCCTCCTCCTGCTGGATGGATGGATGAAGGGAAGGGTGGATGGATGGATTTCCCCTCCACCGATCGGGGTCTTGTGTTCGCACGCTTCCTCCGACTCACAAGCCGAGGGATGAGGCGAACAGCAGCCAACGTGATCCAGAATGGTAATGGCTGTCCTCCTCCTCCTCTTCCAACCCCCCCAGTAGCCCTCCTCCTCCTCCTCCCACCACCCTCTCTCTCTCTCTCTGTGTCTCCTCACTCTTTTCACGGCTCCATGTCCATTGACTGTGTTAAGTGTCGCGGAAATTCAGATTTCGGTCGTTCTCCTGCGTCATCGGTGGATCAGCAGCTCACACACACAAACACACACACACATAGAGTCAGTCTCACACACTCTCTCTCTCTCT